TGTGTAAGTTGTTTAGCAATGAAATATTTGATATATTGAAAGATGGAGCAAAAAATGTTGGTATATAAATGTTGGAATTTTTTTTGTGATAGCTGAAAGTTGAGTTGAAATCCCAGCTTGGTTTTGAAAATTTTCTTTGAAAACATAATGATTGACGAAGCCCTTGGCCATTCGAATGATTTTATAAAAGTGTTAAAGCTTGATGAAATTAAATTGCTGGAATTGCTTGGAGGACCTATGTTTATTTTGTTTAAGATTGAAATGTAATATGAGCTTGCCAGAACCAAGTGCTAATGATTGACGAAGCCTTGGTCGTTTATTTTATTCTTGATCTGAAATGAATCTATTGAAACCTAGGGCTAATGATTGACGAAGCCCTAGTGACTTGCTATTGAAATGTGATTTTGATGTGCTGGCAAACCTGAGTTATAATATGAATTCGAAGTGGCAAAAATTTACGAGATAATGCGTTGTGAATCGGAATAAGAAATCCGTTGAGACCCTAGATTTGAGGAAGCTTTAAGCAAGCTATTTAAATATATCTTCGCTCTAGTATGGTACGATAAAACTTAAGTACTGTAAGTTAAAGTTAGAAGTTTTGTATAAGAATTTTCTAAACCTTGCCGACTCGATATTTCTTCCTGTAAGCTTAAACTAACCTTATTACTTTTAGAAAATGATTTCACTAGTTCCTAAGACCCTAAGTCCTGATTTATTTCCTTTCCTTAAAATAGTCCCTGGCTAGTTGTCTAGAGGAAAATTTCCAAAAAAAAATACAAGATTTTAGTGACTTTAACTAAAATTAGCAGAAACTTACTCCGCAAGAAAACTTACTTTAAATAAAATAATACTAGCCGCACTCTTATAAAGAAAAGTATTTAAAGGAAAGCCATATAAAACATTTCCTACTTTTACTAACTTTTAATCCTTAGTGGATTGTCGAATTATTTCGAGAGAATAAACCATTTATAAACTAGAGAATCTTTTATACTTATAAATCTAGAACTTGAATAAGAATCGAAAATGTTGTATTTGTACTTTAAAGGTTAAACTTGATTTTAAATAAAAGGCGCAGAAAACTTGTTTGGCAAGAAACCTTATTCAAAGCAAATTGGTTTTGGTTTGCACCTCTAGAAAGAAAGAAATCCTACGAAGTATTTCATCACTTTCATTAGTTTAACTCTAAGGAGATTGTTGATTTATTTGGAGTAGATAAACTAGTTATACACCAGATAACTTTGTATTTATAAACCAAGAACCCGTATAACAACACTTATAGTTTTAAAACCTGGTTTTCTAGGGTATAGCGAGGACGTGGAATTTTAAATCCCAGCTTGAGCTTTGAACTTCACTCTTGGTGAGTGTCCCTGCTTGTTCTATTCCTACTTGATTAAAGTGCTTTCTTGACTTGAAATGTGATATTTGCAAACAAGTTTTTGATCCATCGAAGTGAGCAGTGTGTACTTTATCGCACTAGCCGTTCGAGTGGTGACTTGCGGGAATCATTTTTCTCATGAATCTAAATGTAGTTACGTCGCTGGGTGAATCCCTCGACGCATGAATCTAACTACAATAAATAAATCCTTGAATCTAAATGTAGTTACGTCGCTGGGTGAATCCCTCGACGCATGAATCTAACTACAATAACGTCGTTGGGTGAATCCCTCGACCAATCATCTACGGGTATATCTCGAGTATACTGCGTCCTTAGTCGGAGTTCGGGCCCGGGACAGGGGTATGAATGGTGACGGGTTAGGAAACAAAATAAGAGAATCTACATGGATCATAAGTAGTGAGAGTTGACGGAGGGTCAACTACGATGGTTTCTGATCAAGCGAGGAATTTGGCTCCTGAGAGCCCCTGTATCCTACCTTGTGTTGTTATCCGCTTTCCTACTTGGTTACCTTAGTCAATATTGCTTCTTGCTATTTGTTTTATTTAATTGCATGTTTTGGGGCACCACTGACCTTTAGCTCACCCCACGATATTTGTTTTCCTTGACAGGTTTTGACATTTGAAGTTTTGAGAAATCTGAGCCTACGTATATTTGCTTATGGATGTATTTGAACCTTGTGACTTGGATTTGCAGTTCGTAATGTAATTCGAATAAAACAATGTACTTTTGTCTTGGGTTGCCACTTGAAGCTGGAAAATGTGTAAAACCCAATTCGAAGGTTTGGCTTGTAGGTTTATAAATGTGGTGTATGAATTTGTATGTCCGGAATGGTACGATTCTACTTCTTCAGAATACGCGTGAGGTGTTCGAAAGCCGTCGTTTGGTTATCTTCATACTGTTATCTCTAAAGTTAATGTGACTTTAGCGATTGGTCTAGTTTGGGAGATTCTTTATTGTAATAGCTTAAGTTAATCTTCGAAAGAATTTGGGTTAGAATGCTTGCGTGAGTCCTGGCGAGAGCTGGGCAGACGGCCCGCCAACCCTTTGGTTCGCCTTAGGGGGAAGTGGGATCGCCACAAGTGGTATCAGAGCTCCAATCGAGCTCAAATCGGGAAAAGGTTCTCGGACCGTGGGGAAAGGCCTATTAAGTGTTAAACTAATTATTATTGCTAAGGGAATTAGTTATGTATGTTGGGTAGGAATCTCAAATATAGGTGCTTCATGCTTGGGACTGGCCAGCTTGAGTTGTGAATCATCCTATTTTCGGATTCTTGTACCCGAGTACGAAATATTACATTTAATGGAGTATTTGCAATGGAAAAGAAGCAGGATTAAATTTGGCAAAGTAGAATCGAAAGGACCAAGTCTAGCTTTCGAAAGTTTAAGGTGAAGAACCAATAGTGAGACCTTGAAGATTAGTGCCAATTCTATTTTTGAGATGAAAAATTTTGCTAGTCATTCGATGGTAAAGGGAATATATGCCATCTCTTACCCAAAATATTGGTTTAGACATAGAATTGAGTGAAATCGTAGTTTAGATAGGAACTATGCAGTTGTGAATAGCTCTAAACCCTGAGGAGAGTTTTTAAAACTGAGGTGAGATAAGTTGACGAATTTGCCATGTGAGGTGAGTTATCGATGACATTGTGGTTCCTTAAGTTTTACTGGAGGATTATTTGGGGCTAATGTTTAAAAAGGATAAAGATAACTGGTTGCTAGGTTACTAGAAAAGCCAATGTATGAAATGTTTGAGATCATTTAGAATACTTAAGAGCCACTGATGTACTTAAGTAATGATCATACTATTTGATTCGATATTAGACGTAGTAAATCTACAATTCACTAGGGAAATTTGATTAGTGTTACTGAGGGAATCCAGTGGGATTGTCCGGGACTAAACTAATGAAGGTTAAGTTGAATCTAAACTAAGGGTTAGGCTATTAGCTATGTGGTTATAATAATTTGTGTATTGTTGTATTGTTTCCTTTCATGCTTATAAAGATTGAAGTTTGAGTTATGTAAGAAAATATTGAATGTATTCGTGAATTATCTAGCCTTTGAAGTTGTATGAATTTGGTATGCAATGTGACTTATATTGTGAGTATATAATTTGATGATTTCGTGTTTAACTTTTGTAACGCTGTAATATTTATTAGTCCCGGAAATTAAATAATTACTAACCTGAGTGAATTTTGGTAACCAAAGTGGTGTATAGAACTATGAGATTAAAATATATATATATATATATATATATAAATAAATAAAATAAATAATATATGGAGTAGGTGGTGATTATTAGGGCAATCATGTCTTGGTAAATCATTGTAGTTTATGAGTTAAAGAAATAGTTATCGTATCATGTATACAAGTTGTTGATATAACCATTATTAATAACCAGAAATAGGAAAGGGTAAGAACATGAATAAAATCTAAAAGTTAGTAAACTCGGTCTATTTATCAGCTCATACCTTTAGAAGAAAGGTTAGACCAACGTTGAAGCAATGACTTGATAGATCCAGTGAATGGGGAAAAAAAAATTTAAATAAACTGAACTCTTGTGAATAAAGGTAGGAATTTCAAGGATTTACCAACTCTATTACGGATAGAAATCAATAGGATGGGATGTTGGAGTCGGAACTTTGCCATGTTTGGATATTGAATGCACTTAAAAAGAGATTTGTTTGATTTCTGATTAGAGCGTATTTGAGCTTGATATATGTTGTAATTGACTTTGTTCTGTGATGTAATTAAATTGATCATGAATTTGCTTGGTATTAATGATATATATGGAGTGAAATTAACCGCAATCGTATGTATGCATAATTGGTTATTACTTATTTTAAATCAACTCGTTGTGAGAAATATAGAGCCTAGGGAGCGATAATGTCAGAGTGATAATGCTATCTTGGGTGAAAATTTTTAATTGAGTATGACGCGCAGATAAATTATAAATTCAAGTAGTTGAACTTTTATATACTTTGGGAAGCAGTCGATTCGACACTTAAATTACGGGGAAACACTAAGACCAAATTCCTTTAGTTAAGGTTTCGTGGCAAACATGAATGATTAGACGAAGTGATGTGGAAATGGAAGATAAAATACGGAAAGGATACCCGGAAATCTTTACGATTAAAAGTGTGAAATTTTGACTATCAAGATCAGAACCAATTTCTTCTCTTCTTGTCCTCCATTCGAATAACCATTTTATTTATATATGTATATAGACCACAATTTTTCCAAATGTGTATTTAATATCCTGTTATTAGTCACGAAAGGTACGTAAAATTTTGAAAGTTGAGCCTTTAATGATGTTATAATTGTTTCAAGAACTAATGGTAGACAGACTTCGACAAAGATGCTATCAATGGGAATTTAGAAGGAACCCACCCTCGTAGCTACCCCTACTGACCATATGACTGATATCTTAGAACGGTTGGTGGAGTACCAAAGCTCTAGGCCAATCAACTAGCCTAGGAACCAAAAGAGTTGCGAAAATGGAATGACTCTTGAAATTCGTCTATCTAGGTTTCGTGGGGGAATCTGACTTCAAAATAATAAGATTGAATCGAAGGAATACAACAAGACCCTAGTGAGAATAAGAAGTATGACTGTGGTTTCAAACAACCTTGAAGGTAAGTATTGAATAGTGCACTAAGATATGAAATTTTTCCTTTAGGATAAGGCTACCTTATTCTGTCGTGATAGTGATTAACGATGGTAATTTCGGTGACACTTAAGAACTCGCTGAGTTAAGTAGAAAGCAGTTAAGGTTTATATTTTGGAGTAACCATCAGTAAAAGGATGAAAGAGTATTACGGCTCAGGTTTTCAGTATGAATAGTTGCTTATTTTGATCCTATAATTTGTCTGGCAGGCTAGCTATTTGACTTAAGCCAGCTAGTAAGATGACAACATTGGAAGACCTGCGTAAGGAAATGGACATCCTCCGAAATGAGGTAGAATTTCAAAGGAAAGTGGCTGACTACTGGGAAGGACGATGGAAACAAGAATACGCAGAAAAAAAAAAAAACTGAGCTACTACATCAAAATGTAGAACTAGAGAAGAAAAATAAAGAAAATTCTTGAAATGGCCAGGCCGCCACCCCTCATGTAAATTGTGGGTATTGTAGGAAAACTGGCCATACTGAGGACGGATGCTGGAGGAAACAAGGAAAGTGTCTGAGGTGCGGTAGTATCAAGCACAAGATTTCGGATTGTCCTAAAGCATTTAAAAAGAGGAAGTACTCAGCAGCTAACTAAGTCCGCTGCAGAGCGACCAAGTGCCAGATGGAAGTAATTCGTGCTAATGGCCATGAACGGGGTCCTAGTAGTGAATGTTTCACAAATCAAGAGAGTTTGACTCCACTCGAGGAATAGAGGTTATAGTTACCCTAAACTAGACTAGTACTTTTGGAGGTTGTGATCTTTCGCTATGAATTATATGTACGCTACGAATATCCTTTATTTTAATTACTTTGCTATTAGAAATATTATAACAAATAGATGGTTAAATTAAGTGCCTAATTGAATTTATATACATATATATATATATATATATACCCCGACCTATCTCTTAAGAAAGTAAGAATTTTGAGGACAAAATTCATTTTAAGGAGGGGAGGATGTGAGAACCCTGAAAAATATATATATAAATAGGGTTAAAAACAAAAAAGCCCCCTGTGATAAGCCTAATACACAGAAAAGCCCCCCATGGTTTCAAAATATACAACACGGCCCCTCATTCTTTGAACTAAATTGTAAAGGTGACGGAATCCGTTAAACTTAACGGAAATGACTTATTGAAACCTAAAAAAAATTTTTTATACTAATTTTTATCAAATATACCTATTCTACCCCTTAACTCTCAATTCTCTCTACTTAGAAAATAAAACAAATGATTTTTTTGAGCTGTCTTTTGTTTAATTATATAAGGGTATTTTGGTCATTTTGACAATTTCCGTTAAGTTTAACGGATTCCGTCACCTTTATAATTTAGTTCAAAGCATGAGGGATCGTGTTGTATATTTTGAAACCATGGGGAGCTTTTCTGTGTATTAGGCTTATCACAGGGGGCTTTTTTGTTTTTAACCCATATAAATATCATTTTGCATTTCATTTGCATTTCATTTAACTCTTTAATAAATTTTAGCATTAATTTCCCTTGTCTACAAATAAGTCCGTAAAAATAATTTTATGTGAAAAATAATATAATTTTCCCAAGTTATAAATTTTCTTGACTTTGTTAGACTAAACTAATACATCTGGAGTTAGAATAATTTATCGCCTTAAAATAAAATGCTAAAATACTTAGTTTTCCTTATGTTAAAAATTTATGCTACCTGAGTAGATTAATTATATAAAATTTCTTGAATTTCAATAATTAATCCTAATTAGTGAATAACGTTAAATACTAATAGGAATTTTCACGTTAAGACCAAAACCAATAAATTTTATGTGCAAAATAAAAGAATTGGGCTAAACTATTAAATTTCTAGTTTTGTTTCATTAAATTCATATTTCAATGGTAAACTATTTCTTTGACCTAACAATTAATCTCTATGAATTCTAGTATTGTAATTAATTGTTTTGAAATAAAGTGTAAAGATAATTTTTATGTAATAAATAATATAATTGTGCCCAATATTGAATTATTCGGTTTTGTTATACTAAAAGTAATAATTCTTGAGCTATATTAAGTTTACTCTTTAAAAATAAATTCCTTAATTTGCAATAGCTCACTTTAGTTCCGAATAAGATTAAGGGTATACAGAAACCTTAATATTAAGATGTAATCGATAAATATTCGATAAAAATGGTTTAAGTATACTAGTGTATAATTAGGTTTTCAAATCACACTTGGGGATAATTTTTGGAATTAAGTTAGAATTGAGAATTTAAGTAGAGGTTAGGAAGCAAAGTGAAAAGACTACAATGCCCTTACAACCACAACATTTCCATGCAAAACCCAAACAACCCCTCTAACAGCATTACAATCACTGCACCATCAGACCAATAGGAATTTTAACCATCCCAACACTCAATCTCTTCTCCTAAACCGCGGCACCATACACCTTTCTCTCCATTTCATATCTCAAACCACAATTTCATTTCCTCTGCACAAACTTCCCGCAAACCATTTCCTCTCCCTTCTTAATACCGAGATACCGTCACACTTCACCATTTCATCTCTGACTCACAACAACATCTCACCTCTTCCTCTGCCTTAGACCGAGAGTAAATGAGAGAGAGAGTTACCTTGTGAGATGCACCCGAGAGCAAGGGAGGAGGGAACGCGAGCTGCAAAATTTTCTGGTTCTGCCGTGAGCTGGAGTGAAACCAGGGAGAAAATTTGTGAGTGAGTCTTCTCCGTTTCCTTTTCAACCTCCACCAGCTGCAACCATCTTCACCGCAACACCAGTCCAGCTGCAGACCAAAAATCAGGACCAGATAGTGTACGCGAGCCGAGAGAGAAAATTTCATAGCTTTCTTGTGCGTGTGCTGAGTTCCTAGCTGAGGTAAATTCGAGTCTTAGAAAAGTTAATTACTAGTAGATGAAGCCATATCAGAACTTGCATGTGTTGCTTGTGCATTCAGTTGATGAAATTAAGTCACTAGAAAATTTTCTGTTTTGGCTAAATGGCTCTGCCGAGGAGCTGAGATGGAAATGCAGCTCTTGATTTATTTACTTGTGATGATCTGAGCTTAATTATGTGTCTATCTAACCAAAAACAAGAGGATTAAGCCATCTAGGAACATGCATGTTGATGTTAGGCCTACGGATGAGTGTTTTAGGAAAAGAGATTCTGTTATGCGCAAGTTATGGAAATTGCCGAGAGCTTAACTTGATTAATGCAGCTTGATTTGGTTTAATTTTGTTGTTTGAGCTTATAACCATAATTATCTAGTCAATAACAAGATAATTAAGCCCTGCATGTAGTTAATTAATTAGTTTAAACCAGAAAAATAAAATCAAAATGCACCCTGCCACATGCATGTTCATCCGAGCCAAGCTGGAATAAATTTCAGAAATATTGATGTTGATGGCCGCTATTTGAACTCAATTTTTGAACTGGAAATGTTCATTGTCTAGCCAAGTAATTGCATGAGGAAGTTGAGAGTTTAATAGCATGTTTTAACCAAGGAAATAAAATGAAAACAGAAAGTTTCTTCATGCATGTTCATCCGTGACTAGCTGGACAGAATTCTGGATTTTTCCTGGATGATTTTAGTTGCTGTGTGAATCCGGTTTTGAAGTGGAAATCTTTAATAACTAGCTAAGTATTTACATGCTGAATTTGAGTAAATAACACCATGTTTAAACCGAGGGAAAATTTGATCTAAAGTGTATTAGTCGCTGGAAAATTTTGGAAGCTGCAAGGTTGGACCGAAAATTCCAATTGGTTTCTGGAAATTTATTTTATTTTTCCCTTGGGATATAATGGATTAGAAATACATAAGAGATGTAAATTTTAAGTTGTGTAAGTTGTTTAGCAATGAAATATTTGATATATTGAAAGATGGAGCCAAAAATGTTGGTATATAAATGTTGGAATTTTTTTTGTGATAGCCGAAAGTTGAGTTGAAATCCCAGCTTGGTTTTGAAAATTTTCTTTGAAAACATAATGATTGACGAAGCCCTTGGCCATTCGAATGATTTTATAAAAGTGTTAAAGCTTGATGAAATTAAATTGCTGGAATTGCTTGGAGGACCTATGTTTATTTTGTTTAAGATTGAAATGTAATATGAGCTTGCCAGAACCAAGTGCTAATGATTGACGAAGCCTTGGTCATTTATTTTATTCTTGATCTGAAATGAATCTATTGAAACCTAGGGCTAATGATTGACGAAGCCCTAGTGACTTGCTATTGAAATGTGATTTTGATGTGCTGGCAAACCTGAGTTATAATATGAATTCGAAGTGGCAAAAATTTACGAGATAATGCGTTGTGAATCGGAATAAGAAATCCGTTGAGACCCTAGATTTGAGGAAGCTTTAAGCAAGCTATTTAAATATATCTTCGCTCTAGTATGGTACGATAAAACTTAAGTACTGTAAGTTAAAGTTAGAAGTTTTGTATAAGAATTTTCTAAACCTTGCCGACTCGATATTTCTTCCTGTAAGCTTAAACTAACCTTATTACTTTTAGAAAATGATTTCACTAGTTCCTAAGACCCTAAGTCCTGATTTATTTCCTTTCCTTAAAATAGTCCCTGGCTAGTTGTCTAGAGGAAAATTTCCAAAAAAAAATACAAGATTTTAGTGACTTTAACTAAAATTAGCAGAAACTTACTCCGCAAGAAAACTTACTTTAAATAAAATAATACTAGCCGCACTCTTATAAAGAAAAGTATTTAAAGGAAAGCCATATAAAACATTTCCTACTTTTACTAACTTTTAATCCTTAGTGGATTGTCGAATTATTTCGAGAGAATAAACCATTTATAAACTAGAGAATCTTTTATACTTATAAATCTAGAACTTGAATAAGAATCGAAAATGTTGTATTTGTACTTTAAAGGTTAAACTTGATTTTAAATAAAAGGCGCAGAAAACTTGTTTGGCAAGAAACCTTATTCAAAGCAAATTGGTTTTGGTTTGCACCTCTAGAAAGAAAGAAATCCTACGAAGTAT